TAAATAAATAAATAAATAAATAAATAAATAAATAAATAAATAAATAAATAAATAAATAAATAATCATGAGTAAAATGGAAGGTTTTCTCACATTTTTACCGCAAATAACGTTTAAATTGACGAAACAAAAAATTTTTTTGAAAAACCTTCCGGGTATTGAAGAAAACAAAATCCAATTGTTTCCAGCACGATTCGGCTTTTCCGTCCTATGCTTCTGTTCATCACCTTTTAATTAAATTGAAATTAAAGTTGACCCAAACCAGATTTCGACCCCGATTCAAACCGTTTTTTGAGGCAAATTTCTAATTAATTTTTGTGCAGTCTGTAATCACTTAAAAAACAGTTTCAACACCACCCATTTTCTTTTCACCCTTTCAATTTTCTTTTGACCCTTTAATTGTTTGCGTTAGTGAACTGTTTGTTTAAAAGGAAATAAGCAACGGGGAATACTGAATATTATATTATGGGGTCTTATAGAATGTTAAAAAAAATTAAGGGTTGTTATTAAACAAAAAGAAGGTGGCAATGTCGTACGTACGAAACTATTGAACGTACAATTTAACAAACTTGATAAAAACTATCTTCTCAAAAAATTAGAATAGATCTGTTTTGGTGTTTTTCACTAAACATTTTTTTCCTACACTAGACATATCTGTCTATTGCTAAACACTGTGTGTAATTTCTTAACCCGACTATTAAATAATATTATGTCAAGTCTATGTACTTCCTACATTACGTACAATTTTATCGTTGGAGGATCTACTATTTCAATTTAATTGCGCATCGATTGCCTATTTTCAATAGCTTGATCGCTTATCCCATAAAACAAACAACGAAACACCGTGTTGTATAATTTATTACTAAATAAAAAATTTATTATATCTAGGTGTTATCCAGCATCAGTTACAAGGTTATCTTAACAACAATCTATAAAAAATTGATTAGACACTTAAATTTTATCTGTCTCGTATAACTTGATGAATAAAAGCTGGAGACATAATCCATAAGTCACTTGCTACATCAAACCGTAAAATATGGAAATATTAAGCGACAGCGTTTTATCACAACAGATTTATTATAGTGTAGCCATCAGTATAACGTTTTATTAATAACCGAACATGGCTCATCTTGTTTCCTTATATACACAACACGGGTAATGAATACAAATAAAAGCTTTTGATCCGATTTTAATACCATTAATATTAAATGTTGATCTGATAACCAAAAGTACCTGATCCTGACTGACAATATTTAAAACGAAAAAGACTTGATCGTGAATCGGTATAGAGACAACTAAAAAAAATTCTAGCCCTTAATTACGATTTTTATTGTAACACATTCATTAATACATTTACTATTAAGAAATGTCCATTTTCGAAATTTACCGTTATATAGCAACTTTTAACACGAAAATAATTGGAATTGGACAAGGCTGTTTGTTAAATAATTTTAATACAAAATAAAGAGTAAGGTATTTAAACATTTTTTTTTTATAGTCAAAACAATTACAAACGTAGAATGTTTAACAAATGCTGTAACATTGTAAGAAAGGTATGAAACAAACATTTGTTTGGTTTGGCTTTATTTTAATAAGTTATATTTTACATACTTTTTTTTATACAATAGACCTTCCATGCAGGAGTCACGGTAAATGAAACTCCTTAACTTAAATTAGACGTACTAATAATTCGTAAATTATACTTTTTTTTTAACATAGAAAACATTTTGTTTAGAAAGATTATCAGAATTTAAGTGCATTTATGATACTGAATACTTAGAATTGTCGTCACTCTCTCCGCATAAGATGTTTGAATTTTTACCCGTATCTGTCTAAAACTTCATGGCGAAATTATTAAATTCAACTAGCTGACCCGACAGACGTTGTCCTGTCCAAATTTCAGTAAATTTGTTTGTGATCAGCACTTTCAGTTTTTCCGAATTTTCCAATTTTCCGGGCAACTTTTCCAATTTTTCTTTCCCTAAAAACCTTGTTCGCACTATTACGAACATAAAAAAATAGCCAAATCAGTCCAGCCGTTCTCAAGTGATGCGCTTACCAACGAACAGCATTTAATTTTTATTTATACAGGGTGATTTAAAAAACCGCTGACAGACTTCTACATGAAAAATTAAGACAAAAGGCTTAAAAAATTAAACATTGTCTACAATAAATCCAAAATGCCGAAACATTTCTATTTCAAATTTGCTATGCGTAGTACCTTAAGACCAATGTTTGATGTACTGCTCAAAATTTTATGAGCAGCAGTGCTGTAGAGACGGGGCCAACGTGACCCTTTTTTAAAAATATTTTCTACGCCATTGCTAATTTTGTCAAACGGGCACAATTTTCGTATAAAGTGTTCAATTGTCTATCGAATTGGTCTCTTGCAAAATAATAACTTCTAAAAATACCTAATTAAGCTGCACCCTTCGTTTAAATGTTTGATTTTTCATTATAATTTATCAGTAGGTACCTAGGTACCAGTAAATTTGTCCAACAAAGCGGCACTCAACGTTTCAGATGCATGTGGTCATAGGAAAAGTTAAATAACGAACAATGCTATCTTTTAATAAAAATATATAAATAATAATGTAATTCAGTATATACATATTTTGTATATGTATAAAAACGTTTAAAATAAGTATTAATAAATATAAAGAAATATGTATTAAACAGTGCGCAACACACGTATAAAACAAACTGGCGAAAAGCAGAAAATTCAGTTTATGTTTGACTTAATCAAACATAAACTTTTACATACCGATTGCATGTACCCTACCATTTGATATAGTAAATAATAAAACATTTCATTCCTACACTGCAACCCGAGTGAAATTTACCATGTTGGATCAGCTTGGAAGTAGATTATTTAATTAATGCTAATATTACATAGTAGATGTAGAACGGTCGTTCTTGTCATATTAAGATACTTTATCACCGCGGCGAATAGGTTTCGATGAAACAAGGGTGGAAACATAAGTACCAGATGATGCGATCTATAACGATCCCCTCCAGATTGTGGAACCAATGGCGACGATGCGTAAAACAATTTACGTGTTTCACATTGATACAATGACATAAATCCTTATTTCTTTATAATCATTGTTCACTTTATTTTATGCTGATAATCTGCACGTCTTTGGTGCGCGGCTAATTATGACAGCTCTAATTGTAAGTGCTGTGTTTTTTGTAATATTACTTATATTAGATAAAACTACGAAGGTACCATTTGATCTCCTTCATTTAAATAAATTCTACATATGCCATGACAATATTTTGCTGATGATTTGTAGGAAATTTAGATTTGGTATTTATAGAAAATGCTTCAAAATTTACATAGCCACCTGTTTTTGAGTGTTATTCATGCAAAATAAAAACAGTTAAAACCAATTTAATTTAAAGTGCTGATAAAATAACATTTCCATTAATGTATTTCCTTTATAAAAAAATAATTATTATAAAGATAAAGATAAAGATAAAGATAAAACTATGAGTACTACAAAAAATATGTACGAAAGTCGAACACTTGAATTTTAATCGAATAAAATATTACCAGTTCCAGATTCTATAAATTGAAAAGCTCGTTCGTTATCGCTATTAGTTCGAAATGATGAAGTGCCACGGGCTGCTGGTACTGATTTTATGCGCAATAAGATCATCTGTAGCTGATGTAAGTAATTATTGGCTTACTTAAATATATCCAAGCTTTGTAAATTTGAAATGTTTTCCTTATGTACAAAATAGTTATTAATATCTATGTATCTAGTTAAAGTACCACAAATATCACATACATATTTCTTCATAAATAGGTAGATGATCCGACACTTGTCACTTTACCAGAGGGACAAATAAGAGGTCAAGCCTTACAGTCTCCAAACGACAATGTTTTTTATGCGTTTCAAGAAATACCGTATGCAGCTCCACCTGTTGGTAAATTAAGATTTCAAGTAAGCAGGAAAACATGTATATATTTTTATTTTTTATTTTTAACGTTTCAATTCATTTTTAGGCACCTGTAGCGCCAGCAAAATGGGAAGGAATATTAAACACCACGAAAAATGAAAAANAAAAAATTACCAGTTCCAGATTCTATAAATTGAAAAGCTCGTTCGTTATCGCTATTAGTTCGAAATGATGAAGTGCCACGGGCTGCTGCTACTGATTTTATGCGCAATAAGATCATCTATAGCTGATGTAAGTAATTATTGGCTTACTTAAATATATCCAAGTTTTGTAAATTTCAAATGTTTTCCTTATGTACAAAATAGTTATTAATATCTATGTATCTAGTTAAAGTACCACAAATATTACATATTTCTTAATAAATAGGTAGATGACCCGACACTTGTCACTTTACCAGACGGACAAATAAGAGGTCAAACCTTGCAGTCTCCAAATGGCAATGCTTTTTATGCATTTCAAGAAATACCATACGCAGCTCCACCTGTAGGCGAATTAAGATTTCAAGTAAGGATGACACATACCTATAAATATTTTTATTTTTTATTTTTAACGTTTCAATTCATTTTTAGGCACCTGTAGCGCCAGCAAAATGGGAAGGAATATTAAACACCACGAAAAATGAAAAAGTTTGTTACCAAAGTGGACCCGGCTCCGCACCGATTCCCGGATTAAACCCAACGGAAGACTGTTTGTACTTAAATGTTTACACTCCTCTGGTAAGAATAGCTACAATTAGCTGATACTACAGTCATTTTAATATCAACAATTCTGGACATTGTTATCACACTCTTTTTGCTGATGTCTATCACTATTACTATTATTTGATTAAATTGAAAGAAAAAAAATAAAATATGAATAATTATTATGAGCTTAACGTAACCAAAAACATTTATTTTTTATTTACATAATAATAAAGTTATGCAAAAATGTGATTGATACAGGTGTAGCTCCAGTAAAATTATACTCCTCAAAATATTAAAGTTGTAGTTACTTTACTGTTATTTTTCAAATATTGTCTTTATTGATGCATATTTTCTTTTAGAAACCTGGAGATACTTCACAAACCCCATTAGCGGTGTTAATATGGATACACGGAGGTGGATATGAAAGTGGAACTGGTGCTATTCAGATATACAGACCTGGACTCTTCATTGACCACAATATTGTTGTTGTCACGATAAACTACCGTTTAGGAGCTCTAGGTAACTAATAAATATGAAACGCTTTTGGTAAAAATAATAACAATAATGGCATCGTTACAATTTCATTAATTAGGACTGTTAAAAGAACATTTGTAGACCTAAATGTTTGGAGATATTGAGACAACTGAAATAGGTAGTGCAAAATTGGTCAAGTAGGTTTTTTGTAAAGAACATATAAGCATTATTATAATATTTACCGATTTTAGTATACATAATTGGTCATTTTACAAAAAACTATAAAACAACTGGAGATATGACAATTTTAAGATATTAAGAAATAGGATAAAATCAAGTGTAATAGCACCTTATAACTTTTTCATGCAGAGCGTTAAAAACGAAATTAAAAAAAAAATTAAAAATTCTGGGCTTATTTCAAGAAGAAAAAATAATACAATTATTTCTCCAACTGACATAATAATCTCTTCTGTGGATTTTTTCATGCAGACTCATTCGTATGACACTTCAGTAAGGGTACAAAAAACACAAACCGATATTATACACCATCCAATCGAAAATTGTTAAACATCTATGTAAATTCAGTTCAATATATAGGGTCTTAATTAAGTGTGTGCACACATTTAAGGGATGAATTCAGTGATATTAAACGAAAAAGGTTACATGGAAAGGAACAATCCACAGTCGATAGTTTTTGATAGTTTTCGAGATACACGGTGTTAAAACTTAAAAAAAATCACCGTTTCTAAAATATATTTCTGAAGGCGTTTGTTGCAAAATGTCGAAACTAGTAGTGACATAATTATCAAAATATACAGTAGCGTCCAATTTCTGAGGTTCTTAGTGTAAGTAATCCCCAGTATCTCCGCCACCAGCACACGTATTTATTAGTCCAAGCATTCTGTCACGGATTAACGTTAAATTTGCAGAAATTATTACCTGGACAAAAAAATATTACCGTATAGAAAATTAAATTTTAAAGAGTTTCTTATTCTTTAAACTCGATCCAAAATGGCGAACATGGTTAAAAAAATCGCAAATTTGCAAAACACGGTTTTTCTAAAATAACTAAAGAAATATAGCACCTATTGAAAAATTTTAAATGAGAATGTTCTAGGTTTTAAAAAGATCTATCGACTGATTTTTTGTAACTATCGATTGCTTTGTTACTTTTCGAGATATATCGAAAAAACCGTTAAAAATCTTCTCTTTTCTCTTCTTCTATAACTCGTTTACATTTACGTTCCCATATTTGCTATTTACTGCAAGCATAGCCCGCGGCAAGCCAAAAAAGTACATTTTTGAAAAATTTAAAAATATGAATTATTTTTCGAGGTATATCGATTTTTTGAAAAAAAAATTCGCTCTCGAAAATTGGCTAGATCTTCTCAGCGAATAGCCCTACAGTAACGATTTTCGGTTTATTTTCTTCGTAAAGAGTTATATTATCATGCTGTTAAAAAATGTTTACGATTTTATTAATTTTAAGGATCAGAAAATGACTTTGAAAAAACTGCACTTTTTTGGGTATGTTTTTTTTCAAATAACTGTTTCAATTTTTATTTTATGAAAATTACTTTTAAAGAAAGAAACTGCTGACATTTTTTCACGAATTAAAAAAAAATGTTTTCTATGACCTTCTGGAGCCGAAAAAATTTTTTTATTTAAAAAAAAATTTGAGGACGCAATTCACATTATACAGCGATGCGCTTGATGGAGATTAATATTGAATACTTATATTTTCAAACAAAAATAGTAGGATATGTTTACTTGATTATTAGTATTAGTAATTGAGTAATAAACTGAAGCGTGCATGCGCTGAGTGCGTCAGCTGGAGCGGACGGAGAAGTAGGGGGAAGCGGCGCGCGCTCGTTCGGAAAACTGATGACGTGCAGTCTAAATGGTTAGCGCTTGCAAAATCTTTGATATCTCGGCTTTTGGACCATGTACAAAAATTCTTTTGTACTTAATCTGGAGTAGCTAAACACGAATATTATAGTCAGCAACAAGTACAACGTCAGTATGATTAATGAAGCAAAAAAAAAATAAGGTATTACACGAAAAATACTGTAATATGTATTATTAATTATTAAAATGACGATAAATGCAAAGAAATGTAAATTAAATAATAATTTACGGGACTATTTTGCTTCAAAGGCGAAAATGACTATAATATTCGTGTTTAGCTACCCCATATTAACTATAAAAGAATTTTTGTACGTGGTCCAGATGCCGAGATATCAAAGATTTTGCAAGCGCTAGCCATTTAGACTGCAGCACGTCATCAGTTTTCCGAACGAGCGCGCGCCGCTTTCCCCTACTTCTCCGAAACGGTAAGAGATACGAAGTAGCTTAAATGGAGGCGAAGTCGCGTAATCAGCCCCTCTAAATAATCAAAGGCCAACATGATTAGTTTTCGAATATTCGAAAAAAAAAACTAAATTTTGGAAATCCGTTTTTGTTCCATTTCAGCCTTGTGAGATTATATTGAAAAACGAAGACCATTTTCACATGGCAACTTTCTCACAACAACTACGACCTTGCAAGTCTTCATGACCTCCAATACTGTACTGCCTCAGCCCGAACCAGATTCAGACGTTTTGTCTCTAAAAATTCGTCTTCAATGTATTCGTTCCAAATTTATCTAATTTTTATTTAGATTTCTATGTTTATTGAAATATCGTACACTCTTAAGTGTCGTTAGACCCTGTGAAATCCACCAAGTTATTTTAACTATTACCATCAGACGTTACAATAAAATATTATTAAAGTTTTAATCCCGTGCTCATAGTTATTTCTAGGATTCTCGAATGCTCTAAATTCAAATAAATTTCGGTCTAATTTTTTTCAGGACATTCATACAAATACATCTGACATGCCCTTTCGCAGTTGCGGTTACAGGTATAATAAATTCCGATCATATTATGCTTATCTTCATTTTCAACATTTGCCAAAAGGGAAACGTTTTTGAACATTTACCTACTGTGTTTTTTTAAAGTATAATATTCATTTGGAGTTTTGGTTGTTCATATACATTTTTAAAAATTAGAATAATGAAATTAAAATTGTAATAATGTTTTAATTTTGGCGCAACAACTTATCGAATTATGTATGACCAAGTGACAGATTAAAACTCTAATAATGTAAAGTATATATGGCTGAAATTTTATCAAGACTAAATTTTTATGTGCCTTGATAACCAGTCGTTGCAATGTTAATTATTTATCAATATCGAGAACGAACACTTTAAATGTTCTCTATGATATATTGTGAATCCCTGAATGAGTCCTTGTCGATCATATCTCAAATGTTAATTCAATAAAAATTGTAGTACTTTTTTATTCATTTGCTTTTTTATTTTAATTTCCACAAATTTATTTTTTTTTTGCTTTCTATTTTTTTATTTCTTCTTTTAACCTTTTTAATGTTCTTTTTCATTCTTTTATTAACATAATATCATTACATTGTTTTTTATATTAACGCTTAATTTCTTAATATATTCCTCTCGAAAACAACATCAAGCATAGGCTTTGGAACAGATAGTACTTACAAAATAGCAGATATAACAAGTTAAAACCCACTCCTAAAATTCTGATAATCTTATTCTTAATTTATTCTAAAGTCTCAATTCATATTCTTTCAGGATTTCTGACAACAGAAGACGGAGTCATACCAGGAAACTTGGGATTAAAAGATCAACATCTCGCCTTTCAGTGGGTTAAAAATAATATCCATTTATTTGGTGGGGACCCCGAAAAAATAACGATATCAGGTGAAAGTGCCGGAGCGGGATCTGTGGGATTACATTTATTAAGTCAACGGAATAAAGGCTTATTCAGAGGTGGCATTTTACAAAGTGGTACCTCATTGTCTCAGTGGGCACATCAAAGCTATGCAAGATTCTACGCTTTCGAATTAGCTCGAAGTTTGGATCCAAGTTTCA